TGGACGGGGCAGGGCTCTAGTGGCGACACTTTGTCTTGACACTTTTTGGTCGACCAGCTTTGTCTGCAGCTAGGGCTCTCAACAGATGACTGTTTTCATCGGCGGTTCTGTGAATGCTGGGTGTTGGTTTATGCACAGGAGAATTGAAATGCACCTGTGGGCTGTCTTCTTTCTTTCCTTGTTCTTCTTGCAAAGAAGTGCCAGGTCACTGTAGACTGCCAGGAAAACTGATGCTGTCTGATTATCAGCATGTCCAGAGCGATGACAGACATGGCATTGTTCTTGTTGCTGTTATTGGTAGCACTGGTGGGCCCTCAGCTGGGTTGTGCTCCTGTGTGCAGCCCACTGCAGAAGAGCGGTTGACCCGCTCCATGGGAGACTTCCTTGGGGTGCGTCATGAAGAGGTCAGCTCGTTGAGCGCCCACGGGCCACCGGAACATGTGCAGGATTTTTCAAACCTCGACCTCAAAGGCGACCATTCAAACAGGTGACTGACTGTTTTAATGGGGCCGGAGCTGATCCGCCATTCGTGTGCGGGAGGGAGGATAGTTTGGTTCGCGGTATTTTCACTGAAAGTGCAGCCTTGCCAGTAGTTTGGGTTTGGTAGTTGTGTTTGTACTTAGAGTTGGTAGTTTGGGGTACACTAACTACAGAGAAGACTGGGGCAGTCAGCAAAGAATGGCTGGGCTAGTAGGTGGATGAGCAAATGGCTACCTTGGTTCCGTGACCTGTTAGCAACTGCTGTGGGCAAAGGCACAAGCAAGGAGCTTGTTCGGTACTTTTTAGAATCAAAGTATACACCACATTGAACATTTTGGAATAAGGAAAGAAAGTGGAGAAAAGGGGTACTTGCTGAAGGTGTCCGTAATCCTTGATGCGCTTATGGAAAACTTGTGCAAGTATGTGTTTGTTGTTTCTCTCCTGTAAGAGGCATTGACAATTGGACATGCAGTGGAAATGTGCCCATGCAAAGACCAAATTATGTCCACATCCACTTGTCAATGCCCAGCATTGGGCAAGCATCTACCTCCAAGTGTGTCAAGAAGCAAAAGCGCACAAACATGCCCAATTCATGTATAGATTTGTGGTGGCATCGTGTGCTTGTGTATGTTTGGAGGTGGAAAATAATGTATTGGAAAGACTGAAATACTATTCGCTTGAAAACCTAAAATGTGGCGAACCTGAAATGCCTTGATCAAGGCAGATGAAGAACAATTCCCTAGACATTCGTAGGCAAGCAGAAGCCAAGCAGGAGTTCAGGCATTTAAATTCTATTTTCTCACTGCTAATTGCTGATTGTTGCTCCATAGGCTGTGGCCCGGACACACCAACAAATTGGGAGCAACTGCTCAAAGTCAGCCCAGTCTGCGACATTGTTTGAGGCTGGGACGTTCCTTTATGCTTGCGCACGTGTTAAGAACACATGTATGTGCAAATGCATGCATTGGCAAACAGAATCGTGGGAGAATGCAAGCAGTTGACGTTCATGTCTGCACTTATCCTCACTCGGACCCAGGGCAAAACTCTGCTGCAGCCAGGCCAGCATGATCTAACTTCGGCTTCGCCGAAAACCCAAATCTCCAGACCTAACCTTTGCTTCCATTCACCCCCACAGGCCGCTGTGGGTTTGCCCCGATGGCCGCATCTTCCTGGAGACGTTCTCGCCCGTGTACAAGCAGGCCTACGACTTCCTGATTGCGATCGCAGAGCCGCAGTCTCGCCCTGAGATCATCCATGAGTACCTCTTGACGCCCCACTCCCTCTATGCTGCTGTCTCCGTCGGCCTCGAGACTGAGACAGTCATCACTGTGCTGGGAAGGCTGTCCAAAGTGCAGCTGTCGAACGAAATAAAGCAGTTCATCAGGGCATCCACTGAGAACTATGGCAAGGTACAACTTTTTTGACATTTTTGTCACTGGTGCCTTTTGTTATGCCTTTGTTGTGCATTTGTTGTGCCCATATACTGCAGCAAAGTCGATACATTGTCAGGTGTGCTATGGAACGAAACTACAGTCATTGCAAGCAGTTGCTGCTTGTGTTGCACAGCAGTTGCAGTTCAAATGGGACCCTATTCTTGGCAAATAACTGCCAAGAGTGAATGGCCATCGTGTAGATGCCAGAAACTGGAGTTCCAACAGGACCATTGCCTCCATCAAGAGCATCATGGAAATGCTGTTACATTGCATTGCAGGACACAGGCCGTAAGAGAGGGGGGGCGCTAACCCGATGTGCTCTTGGTTATGAATTGTTTGTGTGCATGCCGATCACTGCCTGAAAGGGCCCTTATTTGTCTTGTCAAAGCACTACTCTAACTCATAAAAGAGGTTGAGCCTAATGGATGCTCAGAAAAATGGGACTGAGGTCCCAGCCAGATGCGTCCTGTCCCTCATTGGGCGATCCTGCTCCTGCGCTGTGTTTTCTATTGCAGTATATAGTGTGGTATGTCGTAGTGCTGTGCATTTTAGTTTTGCTGTGTGGCACTTCTAATTGCAGTGCATTTGGTCCTGAGCGCTCCATAGTGCTTTGAGCCATTAAGTTGGGTATGGCAGCAGGAAGTAATTTGGAAACTAGCACTGGACAAACATGGGCCACTGGACAAAAGGGCACCGAATTGTAATGTTTTGACGATGTATCCGATGTGGTCTTTGAATTTTCCTTTCTTTGAGCCGAAAATTTGCATGTCGCATTTGAGTGTCCAGGAACTTTGGTGTTGTTCTCCAGGTGAAACTCGTCTTGCAGCACAATAGGTTTTATGTGGAGAGCTCCAACCCTGACATACTGGAGCGACTGCTAAAGGATGGCGTCATCAGAAAATCATATGTCACGCCAACTGCGGCAGACCCTTCCCGGCCAAAACTGCTGAAAGGCAAAGCTTACCGGGACAAGGTATGTCTCCAAAACACCCTGTTCTTAACATTCAGCGCGGGCACCAATCAGTGTTTGCTACAGTACCCACACTGTGCTACCCTGTGCAGCAGTGGAAAGCAATATTGCATGAGAAGGGGACCAGCTTGAGAGCGTGATGTATGAATTAGAGGTTGCATAAGATGTCACCCACGCAGCAGATCGAGTCGCGGTTGTCGATCATGACAAGCACAGCCAAGAGCAACCCTCAGTGTGGGAAGCAGCACTGAAGGCTGACCGCCTGTTCCACCTTGCTGCAGTGCAAATGTGACAAAAAGCAGACAGATTGCCACTGTCACGATGCCAAAGGAAGTCCGCAGGAATGATTCGCACACTTATCACAAGAAAGAGTGTCATGAGTGCATTCAACCATGTGTGCATCGATGCAGTAGGAATCTGAGAACAAGAGAATGAAGAAACCTGTGTCCAAAAGCAGTGTGCATGAGTTTCAGAAGTTGTCTGCTTGGCAAGGAGCACAATTTTTGAAACCTGTTTTGCCTCTTTTGCAGGCCGGTGCTGAATTGGCAAAGGTGGACGCGATGGAGGTGGACGAAGGTGATGAAGCCGGGGACCAGGGTGGGGACACTGGCAGCCCAGAAGAACAGCAATCTGATGTCTATTCTTTCGAGATCGAAGCATCTCAGGTACAGTCTTGGGCCTCACTGTGCACATCGATATGGGTAGGTATACATAATGCTATGAGTATGGACACACCGCTGGCATCAATTTTCTTGATACATCTGTGAATTGTCTGCACACATTTGTCAGAATCTGCTTGACCATCACAATCACACTCAGCAGACGATTTGGGGTGCTGTTCACATGCCCAAGTGTCCAATCCTAAAATTTGCAGCACAGTCATGTACAGTTTGATGTGTTGATGAGTCTATGCCACAGTGCCTCCTGTACCTGCATTAAGTATGTCTATTGGAGAATTTGTGTTCTATGGTAACTTCTTTTATTCCCGAGTATGCATGCAGCATTAAATTCTATTCCAGAACATGTGTGCTGTGTTACTTCTTAAAATATGCATGCTCCACCATGACTGTCTTCTCTTGTGATATTTCAAGATTGGACTCCACAGCGAACAACTTCTAGAAGTTGTGATACTGCCATATGGACTGGGCACTCAGGTGGCACTGTTGGAGCTTAGTCTAAAAAGGATTTCAGGCAGTGCGCCACTACTCCAGCACTATGTTAGCACTACACATGCCGAGACTGTGTTTTGGGATATTCCCAGTGGATAAGTGCACATGATACAAGCCATAGTGGCACTGTTTGCTGCACGGCAGCTGTGGATGATTTGTGGCTAAAAGATCCTTCACTGCAATACAGACGGGCAATACAACAAGAGTATATAGGAAGGCAGTTTAATGCGCACACACACCTCCCAAGCAGGCTGTGCTCTAAGACGATGCATGGTTGTGGCATTGATGCATTGTCACTGCTATGTATAGGTGGAACATGTGAAGCGCAGGTGCCTACCTGACGGCCTCAACTACCCCATGTTGGAGGAGTACGACTTTCGAAACGACAAGAAGAATCCTGAGATGTGTGTTGAGCTCAAACCCCATGTGATGCACAGGCCCTACCAGGTGACTGGACTTGCGCAGCAGCCCCAGCTTTGCTGCGTCTTCAGTGCCTCTTGTTCTGTTTCATGTATGCATGTCATACAGGTGTAAATAGAAAATCAGCTGCCACAATCGGGATTGTGGACAATCTCTACTTGGGCGTGTTTTGGACGATGTCCAGTGCTGCTGGAAGAATGATTGGAACAGGGTACTGATGGCCGGCACAGCCTGTTGGGTGTTCCATTCTTGCCTCTCAAGCTTTGAAGCTGAAATCTTGTGAATTGCTTATTGAGTTTGTGGCGGAGACATGCCTGTACACCATTGAATCGATGCCCAATTACTTTGCTGAATCAGTGTTGATAGCAGTGGATCGTTGGTATGGTCGAGATGTGTTCGATGTTTGCTGCAAAGTACTGAGCGAAAAGGTATGGTTTGTATTCTGAGCAGATTCTTGGCGATACTTATGGATGATAGATATGGACAACTCAACATCGGCGAATGGCTGAATGGGTAGTGCTTTGTTGTCTCTGGACTAGTTGCTGTTTAGGATCAATATGTAATCACATATGCTTAATATGTAATCACAAGTGAGGATCCACAGCAACAGCGCCAAGGGGTTTGAATTCCCTGGCTGTCAGGCTCAAGTTCGTCAGGCCGCAACACACACCCACAGACCTCGATATTTGATAGCCAAGATTAGCCTGTCGAGCTACCTGTATGGAAAACTCTTGAAAAGTGTTTGGCAGTGTGGGCGCAAGGTCAGGTATAATCGTCAAGCTTTGTGGAACTTGTATGGTGCTTTGGTGGGTGATATGCACTATTGACGTGCACTGACGATGCATTGTTTTTGTTCTGCCGTGATTTCAGAAATCAGATTGTAACTATATAAATATGCTATGTTCAGGAAAAGAGTCTGAACAAGATGTTTGGCAATGGGCGAGCGAGGTCGGGCATCATCGTCTTGCCATGTGGGGCAGGCAAGAGCTTGACTGGCATATCGGCGGCTGTTCGAATCCGCAAGAGCTGCCTGGTGCTGTGCACCTCGGCAGTGTCCGTTGACCAGTGGAAGGGCCAATTCAAGCTGTGGACCTCTTTGCAGGTTAGCTAGTCCTTTTGCACAATGCTTCATCTGTGGATACAGGTGGAATGAGAATTCAGATACAATGAAAGTGCGGATGCCAGACAAAACCTTTTGGTGCACAGTTGAGGTTTGATGTGTTCATGGACTGTGTCTTGTCACTAAACAACCAGTTTGTTGATGCAGACAATCCCCACACATTCTCCTGTTGCAGTATGGACCTTTCCAGCATCTTCGCATTTGCTTAAAAGCGATCATGTGGTGGCCGACTTGTTGTGCGACTTTCCATGCAGGACGATCAAATATCTCGGTTCACAAACGACCAGAAGGAGATGTTCACAAGTGCAGCCGGGGTAGCGATAACAACGTACACGATGGTTGCATTCAGTGGACGCCGAAACGAGGAATCAGCCAAAGTCATGGACGACATCAGGAACAGGGAGTGGGGTCTCTTGCTGCTGGACGAGGTGCACGTTGTTCCGGCTGAGATGTTCCGAAAGGTGGGCTGTTATGCCACATATGCACCACATGAGGAATTTCGCATACTATTGTGGAATGTCGCCACGAAAGGTGACTGCATTTGTCAACAATCGCAGAATGAGCATTGGTTTCAACACTGCTGTGAAAGCTGTTGCTAAAACGAAGTTAACATAGGTAGGTGGGAGATGCAGAGAAAGCGCTGGTACAGAGAGATGGTTGGCACAACTTCATGTGCACACTGTGAACTCTCTGCTAGGACTGTTGGCTCTTTCAGCAGTTTTGTTTTGGGTTTGAGGGCTCACTGATAATGGCAGAGTTTATGCCTTTCAGCCAGAAACTTTCCTCCCTAGGTGGATCCTGTCAGGTGCCACGCTGGCTGTCAATATAGTGATCGCTGCTGGTTTAGGTGCCTGTGGCCGGCATCTAGGCTCAATGTCTTTCATCGTTGTATGAAATGTACATGCACTGGCAACTTCAGGATTTTTTCATGCGCAAACAGCCTTTGTTGGATTGGTAATTCAGGTCATTGGGATAATCAAGGCGCACTGCAAGCTGGGTCTCACGGCCACACTCGTCCGTGAGGATGACCGCATCAGGGACCTCAATTTCCTCATCGGCCCAAAACTGTACGAGGCCAATTGGCTGGATCTCACAAAGGAGGGGCACATTGCGAATGTGCAGTGTGCAGAAGTCTGGTGCCCGATGACCAAGGAATTCTTCAGGTCCGCTTGTTGCAGTCTCCTTCAGCACATTCTTACTATGGAGTACTTTGACCATCATCTGTCAGCAAAAAAACGTATGCGCAAAGCTGTAATCTGAGTGAGAGGAGGGTACCAAAGCATCAGGCTCAAATTGTAGACAACGCGAATTTGGCTGTACCTTAAGACAGCAAGAATCAGGCAAAAGAAATGCAGTTTCCTGTGTCCCCCAAAATGGTTGGACAACCACCATAACAAAGGGGCCTTCACAGGAGAAGTGTACCAGGGGCACGTACATCAACAGCTCGTGACACAACTGTGCTGAAAGATCAGGGCATGCATCTTCAAGAGGAAGAGTTCGTTGAAAAGAAAGCTGTGAAGCGCCTGTGGGTGCTTTTTGGGCGATAGCCAAATGCTGTTTTCTTGCTGACAGTAGTGAATGTTCTTGTTCCGGGGGTTGGAGGGGCTAAGCTGGGCCCTGTTCTTTCCGAAATTCATGTTGGTCTGAACAGTTGACCTCACGTGAGTAGAGACAAGCAGATGCGTATTGGGTCAGAGGAAATAGTGAAGGCAGTGTGCATTGTTCAGTTGTTTCGTTTGCCATGCAGCATGACAAGTTGCTGCCATTGCACCTGTCAGGTGGCACGACGTGCAATTCACAGCACAATAAAATAATCATAACATAGAGGGTTCCCAACAGCTTGTGCAGGGCGCTCGCAGTGTGGCAGCTCACAGTTCTGACCAGAATTGACTGTGAACAAACAGCATAGGAGCAATTACACATGGTTGGACACAGAGCAGGACGTCACCAAGTTGATGAAATGGGTTTGCAGTTTCACAAGACAAATGCAATGGACAGGTGGTTGTGTGTGTCTGTGTGAGCGCGCGCTCATGAGATATGCCTTGGTCCTCAGGGAATACTTGAGGAAGGAAAATTCGCCTCGTCGGCAGCTCTTGTACGTGATGAACCCCACCAAGTTTCGAATGTGCCAGTTCCTGATCGACTACCACGAGCGAGTGAGGGGTGACAAGGTGATCGTGTTCTCGGACAACATCTTCGCGCTGAAGAGCTATGCCATAAAGCTCGGGAAGTTCTACATCTACGGCGCGACGTCGCACAGCGAGCGGACAAAGATCCTGCAGGCCTTCAAGAACAGCCCGAACGTCAACACGGTGTTCTTGTCAAAGGTGAGCCCCTCAAAAGTGTTGCGACACACCCTTGGGGCGAAGTGAGTGTCGATATTGGCACCCAGCACTTGAGGCATTGGATTAGCACCGTTTTCTGCCCTAATCGTTAGCTTGTTTGCTCTGAAGATGGTGTACTTTTGTTTCAACGCCGTTTCAGGTAAGAAATAGTCAACTAAGTACTTGTGCCATACTTACCACGCACCAGCCTTGACCGTACTTTCCAGCAATAGTGCTTTTCGCGTTTTGGATATTGTATCCTGTCTCAAGCTTGTGTGAATGACATGTGTTAGACTATGTAGTTATACTGCATACTACACACTACTTGCTAAGACCGTGTACTGTGAAATGCTGTTGAGTGCAGTATCGTGTTTTTGGTGCAGTATGTGCGAATATGTCAAGTGCATATTAGGCAATGGTACCGTGTCAGGCAATTGTGCCACTTGCACAGTGCTCAAGCAACACAATCAGCAGTGCGTTGCTATACGCTGCATGAAGCATATGTGAATGGCATGTGTTGTATCAAATACTATGGAGTACGTGATTGTTTTCTTGCCCAGAATGTGAGGATATTTCCAGCGTGTGTTAGGTAATTGTGCTGCTTGCGCTACTTGCGCTACTTGCGCAGTCAAGCAACCCTATCAGGGTTGCGTTGCTGAGTGGCTATGCGCTGTGGGTGGGTGACAACTCCCAAGTATCTGTGAATGGCGTGTGTTACTTGCTCTGTCCCAAATCAAACGACCCAATTGTTGTCAGCACTGTGTTTTCATCACAAGATGACTTCCGCCTTCCCCGAAAATCTACTCACAGTAAGGCACGTGAGATAGAGTATGCTATCAAAATTTCAGATGAATTGCCTAAGTACAATGTAATTGGTGTCAGTTTTTATCCACATCACTCATCCACCGAAAACCCTGGTAATCCACAGCCTTCGGGAAACCTCACACCGCACACATGCTCGATCAGGCCGTTCGGAAGAGGCTTTGCCGCTCTCTGGGCCTTGAGAATGACCGCGCCGACCTTCGGTCTCATTGGCATGGCCAGCTCTTCTCGAGCGGCAGCGCTCCGCCCTCTCAAAAGGGCAGCCCTCACCATGCCGGAGAGCATTGGTTTCCGGAGGCTGTGATTGTCAGGGTTTTCGGGTGTTGAGTGACGCGGATAAAAACTGACGCCAATTGCGTTGTGCTTGGCCGGTGCACCTGAAATTTTGACAGCATACTCTGTACTCGTGTGCCTTGCTGTGAGCAAATTTTCAGGGAAAGCGGAAGCCATCTTATGCTGAAAACACGGTGCTGAAAAAAATTGGGTCATTTAGTTTGGGACAGAGGAAGTACATGAATTACATCACTGCTTTTGGTTGAGTGTGTGTGGATGTTTCACGTACATGTCTGGCAATTGTGTTGCTTGCCAAGTGAAGCAGCACGATCAGGGGGTGCATTCGCTAAACACTGTATGCCGCAGGTGGGCGACAACTCGCTGGACATTCCCGAGGCCAACGTCCTCATCCAGATCTCCTCCCATGCGGGCTCCCGGAGGCAGGAGGCCCAGAGGCTGGGCCGGATCCTGCGCCCCAAGAGGGCTAAGCCGGGCTCTGTGGCCCAGGACGAGTACAACGCCTTCTTCTACACCCTGGTGTCCAAGGACACGGAGGAGGTGTACTTTTCCACCAAGCGGCAGCAGTTCCTGATCGACCAGGGGTACAGCTTTAAGGTACTGTAGTGAACCAACCCTTGCACATCAAAAAGTTTTATCATTACGCTTTTCGCTCCGCATTTTTCTGTCTGAGTGTTGTTTGTTTTTCTTGTGTTGCTCCAAAAAAAATGTTAAGTTTTCTCTGCAAAAAGAGGCCAAGCGTTACGTTACTATGCCGAAGGGTTGAATATTTTATGGTAGGCCAGTGGCTGGGGTGCCTGCTTTTTTATTGTCCTCTCTCCTGACTACAGAAACCACGTCACTTTGAAGTGTCCGGGTGCTGCTCTTCTTCGGCTTGTTGTCTTGTGTTCCGAGGTATTACTTTGCGTTTGAAATTTGAACTGTTGAGCTGTTTAAACACGCTTTTGGATGTGAGGCTCCACTCCCATCCAGATGCAAGGTGTGAGCCCATCGCTGCCTTGCGAGAAAGTGCATTGCGGTGTAATGTCCTGGAAAGCGCTAGCCACAAAGTTGACAAATGTCCTATACCCTTCATTCCGGGCGTGAACTCATGAAGGTCATGAAGGTCATCTTCGAGTTCAGGGTTTTGCAGGATGTAGGCTTGTCAGGTCTCTCTTACCCTTCAGGGACCCTTCATTACCTTCATATATAGGAACGATGGTAATCCAGCAAGCCACAACATTTTCACCCTGCGCCATTCTGAACCTCCACAGGTTGCCACACGCCAAGGGGCTGAAGTTCACGCCGCGTCGCCTCTGTCAAACCCACCATGGACTGACCTGGCATTGCTTTTCTTGCTCCTGACATGTTCCAAAAACAGAGTGTACACTAATGTAAAATAAACTAACATAAAACAAACAAATGGACAATGGTATACCGGAATACATACAAAAATAACAGCTGCCAAAGTGCCACTACTCCCATTCTGACCTGTGGTTTGCCCCGGCCAGGTGATCACCAACCTCCTGGACGCCCAGGGCCCTGACGACACATCCCTTCACTTCGGCACCAAGGAGGAGCAGCTGGACCTTCTGGCCAGTGTCTTGTCCGCGGGCCAGGAGGAAGCTGCCGTGGAGCGGATCCATGACTCAGATGAGTTGGCCCAATCCAACGGCTTCACCCCCGTGGCCAGGAGGGCGGTGGGGGACATGTCAGCGCTGACGGGCGCCCAGGGCCGCGTGTACATGGAGTACAGCACGGCGGGCAAGAGGCGGGCTGGGGCGCACAAGAAGAGCGACAGGGTGAAGAAGGTGCAGAGGATGATAGGGATATGAGGGCGGCGTGGGTGCAGAGGAGTGGCTGGGGTGATGATGATGTTAGTGATGCTGAAATTCCACCAATTCCCTGTTCCGAGAAATACCGGCATGAAGTTTAGTACTTCATAGTACCTCCTTGCAACGCTTCGTTCTGCAAGGGTGCTAATTACGTGGCAGCCACCGGGGGCTGTGTTGTCACCGAGCTGCACGACAACAGCATGTCCATTGTTGGTCCCAGTGTTCATCTCGATCATGTGCCGGCTATCCGCCTCTGCAAGGATGCATGCAAGTCACCCAATTGAAACGCTATCCTCTGCGCCTCACCCACAACCAGGGAATGGCTGGGAGTGTTGGCTTATCGGAGGGGTGTGTGTAACTTCCTTGGTTTGAGGCTGCCCCTGGGAGACACTACGGTGGTGAGCTGAGCGGAGTGGGTGCTGATTTGGGGAGCGTATGGGCACTGTGTTGGGAGAAATGGCGAAGGGGGTGAGAGAAGGGGTGAGAAAGGATGCTGCGTTGGCGGCATGGCGATGCTGGGGGAGTTCTGCTCGAGGACCTTGGCGCACTTCCTCGCTGAAAGGCTGACCGCGTGGCGATTGCCAGCATCCACGCGCAGTGTGTGCGCGTGCTTTTGCATCGATCTCATGGGAATGTGGGCGGCAGGGCAGTTGGGGATGCACTGCGCACCCTACTACAAACGTGACCTAATGCGAAATAGGACAGAAGGGTAAATAGGAAGGATTGACGGGAGGAAGGGGGAAGGATGGGCAAGGCAAGGACATCCTGATTTTCAAAAGGGGGAATAAGTCGCTCCTTGGATGGAGCGGATGCTTACTTGTCAACCAAACGATGTGGTCAGTCATGGCTGTGATCTCCTTAATGGTCATGATGGTTGTGATGGCCGTGATCATTCTATTCGTATTGCTGTGTCGTGCTCGAACTGGACGAAATCTCACCAACTGATTGTTTAGATTGGGTGTCCTGTGATGGGCTTGTGACCATTGACCTTGGATGACGAAATTGTTTTCGCGCATTTGATTGAGAAGGGCGTTTCAAAGGGCACATTCTTGGGGGGGTGTTCATGCATGGGGCAGTCTATGTTGCACGGAACTGACTGAGCGGATTGCTTGGCTGTGGAGTCCTTCGATGAGCTTGTGACACTTGATCCGGACGGATGAGATTAAATTTGGTGCATTTGAATGAGAAGGGGCCTTTGGCACAACCGAGCGCTTTCTGGGTTTCTGGACGCGGTGGTCTGTGCCGTGCACGCACATGTGGTGCTTGCTGCATTCCATTGGGTGGCATGGATATGTGCGCACATGGCAAAGTCATGTCATGCTCAAAGATCACCTGAGCACACTGCCACACTGTGGCGCACAGAAGCAGACCCCACAGTCAAATAGCATAGGCAAGAAGATGCCACTTCCTCTGTTCTGGAGAACGTTCTGGGAAAGTTCTGAAAGATGAATTCCGTAATTGCTACAAAAATGGAATTACTCGTCACCATGCAGTGCTTCGATCGCATTCCCATGTCCCTCACTTCAGCATTTGAAGTGCGAACCGCGTTAGATTCGGAGTGTGCCTATTGTGCTTTGGTGCTGCCGCGCGCGAGAGCGTGCTAAGTGCTGACTGGCGCTGGCCATTGTGACAGTATTAGGACTGATCAATACAGTCAACGGCAATCGATACTGATCACATATTGCACTGCTGTTGAGAACGCTTCGACCATACTGGCCCCCAAATCAAGGCAATGTGGGCGCCACCCGTATACAGCCAAGGGACGCCACAATGCAGGCATCGTGCTCAAACAATACAAGCAAGGGTAAAGGGAGCCTCCCCTGCACATGCCTACTTCAAAATGCCGTTGATGAACCCATGCACAGCAACGGCACAAAAAATAGCTACGGCACCTAGTCCACACCCAGTCTTGAGCACACCTCGGTTGCGGGCCTCGCCGAAAGCAACCCCCCGCACATGCCCCAGTTGATCAGCCCCGGAGCAAAGCTCAGAAACACGCGCCAAAAGATGCCGAAGGCCACCAGCAGGATCATGGCGTGCATGAAGATTGTGGACCACACCAGCTCACTCACACACTGCGTCGGCCTGTCCTCGAACGGCAATGACTCGATGAAGGCTACCCTCGACCGGTGCTCAAACAGCCAGACAGCATAGGTAACTGCGCCAAAGCCGAGGTACATCTGAAGGAACAGCGCTTGCTGCAGGCAGGGGAACTCCACCTTCCACAACGGGTCATCGCTGACATCCGTGGCCAGGGCAGCGCCCACAATGCTCCTTGCGACAAAATCCATCTTGTCGATCAGCCACCCCGTGCCCGCATATCCGATGGCGTTTGACAGCCTGCAGACCTGCAGGTTGGCGGTGGCCATTATGAATGCCGACGACAGGAGGTGGATGGGCAGGTGCATCTTGAACCTCAGGGGCTGGAAGAGCCCCAGGAAGGTCATGGGAACCATGCCCAGAAAGATGGCGCTGATGACGACGGATTTGTAGGGTGCTTGCAGTTCAGCGAGGTCCAGCATCAGGGCCAAGGTTTCTTTTGACGTCCTGCCAAACTCAAAGGTGTGGAGCAGCCTGGCACGCCACACAACAGATTAGAACGGACAAAAGGGCAACAATCTCTGCAGCTGGTCAGTCCCCGTTTTCAGTTAGTTGTGCCTGTGATGGCCGTGGGCTTGGACAAGCAGCATGAACCTAATACAGCGCTCTCATGAAAAGGAAAGGCGCTGATTTTGCACCCTTCAGGAGGAATACGTGCATAATTCCAACCGCACAGGCTGCCCTGCAAAGCCTGCCCCACAAAGTCTGGTGTGGTGATGGATGGGCAGCTGGGCATGCAGCTGGGGACTTGCACAATCCAATAGCACCCACAGGAATGTTCCCTGCCCCGTGGTGGCTTGCAGAAAGAACACTTTGCAGCATTGACAATCAATGTTGCCAGATCAACATGTAGAAAAAAGACTTTCCGCATCACACCCCAAGCTGAACGACTGTGGACATGAACAACTCTCAGCATCGTGAAGACAATAGGCAGCAGCTGCACCTGGAGCGGAATTTTCAAGTCTCAGCCACTCTCGATGGGTATGGGCCCCGTTGCCAAAGCCCTTTCGTTGCATTCGCCTTCAAGAGACAAGGCCGAGCCCTTGCGCAATCCTGGCGCTGACGAACACGTGCGCATCGAAAACGCTCGTCAGCCCCTCACTCCACAGCCGCGTTTCTCCGTCGCCACACGGGCGTCGAATGGAGAAACGTAAATAGAACGAATACGCCTCTATGGCACATCAATAGTACGTAAAGTACATGAAGCTCAACAACCTAAAGTACGAAATACATGGCAGGGAGCACGCAAGTTGTGCCCAGCAGCATGGAGGCAACCACCTTATCTCAAGAGGCCCCGGATCGTGCCGCCGGCGAGGCGGCTGGACGCTCGCCACCGCAAACCGTCACACCGCGATGATCGTGCCCCGCGATGTTCCGCGTTGTGCACGGCACAGTACACGCAATGGCGAATGTCGCCACAGCAGACCACGCAACGGGCGACATACCCCGCCCCCCTGCGCCCCAAGCCCCCTATCCACCCACACACAGCTGAACAATGCCCGCTGTGTGCTTGCTGGGGAGGGGGTGCTCCCTTCCATGATCTGTGTTTTGGGGATTTAACGCATCTTGACTCACCCACCCTACCTCACCTATACACACCCTCCTACGCCTCAGTGTCCGAGATACCTTCCCGGACGCTCGAGACGTTGAGCAAGCATCCTGGCACAGCATCCAGCGCCAAAGTTGCCAAAATGACCTTGAGCGCCCAAGGGCCGGACGCTCAACGAGGCACAAAAAAGGGCGCGGCCTCTCCGCATCCGGCGGCGGAGATCATCGCCACCCTCGCGGAGAAAGGAGCCCAAAGGCCAGCGCGGCC